AATATCCCTCTCTCAACTATCTATTACAACCTTCAGAAGCTTAGTAAGACAGGAAATGTCGAACAGTTAAAAGGGGCCGGTCGTCCGGAGGTGGTCACAAAGGAAATATCACAAAAGATCAGGCGCTATATAGAAGAAAATTCGTTCATATCAACAAGGAGTCTAGTGGCAAAATTAGGCGGGGCAATTTCTCAACCAACTCTCTGCGGCATTTAAAATTCCTCGGCTACAAAAATGACCTCCCCAAAGTAGTGCCAATGCTCACACGTCTCCAAAAGAAGAACCGGTTATTGTGGGCCAAGAAACACCTGAAGGATCATTGGGGTAAGACTTTTTTCACAGACGAAACTGCTTTTCAGCTTTTCCGTAACACCACTGGGCAGTGGTACCAGGGTTTCCGACTGATTATACCGATTCCTAAAAATAGAGCAAAAATTTTTGCGTGGGGAGGGTTTAGTAGAGTGGGTAAGGTTGATTTATTTTGTTTTAGAGGGATAATGATGGGTGAATTCTATGTAAGTATCTTAGAGGAAAATATTGGGGATATCAAGGTGTTAATGGGGAAGAGATGGCGGTTTCAACAAGACAATGACCCGAAACATACGAGCTGCATTGCTAAGTCGTACTTAGAGTCTTATGTCCCCAAAGTTCTCGAATGGCCAGCCAATAGCCCGGATCTAAATCCGATCGAAAACTTGTGGGGCATAGTAAAGGCAAACGTCGAGAAGAGAACCCCGCAGAATTTAGACAAATTAGAATTATTTTTGAAGGAGGAATGGGACGCAATCCCGGAAATTAAGCTAAAAAATGCTGTTAAATCTATGACAACTAGGTGTAAGTTAGTAATAAAGAATAAGGGTGGTCATATTGATTATTAAAATTATTATTAAAATAAACTACGGGTTCTTACCTTTCTAATGAGTGGTCGTGTGTCATGATTGGCCCAATGGTCGCGAAATTAAATGATAAAAGATTTTTCCAAAAAATTTTGAATCACCCTGTATATAAATGTTAATATATTGAATATTATATTTAAAAATTTATTTAATAATAATATTTATTTGCCATATAAAACTAGGTAACGGAAAATATTTGAGCGTCTGAAGCTAAAAATTATTAATGATGTTGCATAATTCTAAAATTTTATTAGCAGTAGTTCGTTAGTGACAGATAGACATTTTCAAGTTTGGATTGTAATGTAAATTCCTTCGCTACGCTTCGGTCAAAAAAATTTCTTATATACTATTATTACGTATTTATTTTTAATATCTAAATAAAGTATATATAAAGTAAATTTTAATTTAATTTGCATGCGTAAATTAAAATTCGCGTTACACCATCTCAATTTTGACTGATTATCTTTATTATTAATTTCCTACACCTTCAATCAGTGCTCCCTTAGAAATAGAAATCTTTGATATTATTTAATTATGCAACCTGAGCTTTATTACAATATTAAGAGCATTTTTTATAAATAAAAATAATGGGAGACTATGTAAAACAAAACGACATTTTATAAATGTATGCTTTATTTAAACACTGAGGCTTTTACAGATACGGTAGTCCATTATAGTTTCGTGCTACGTTTTACGAATTTTCGTTTGTATATCACAAATCTATGTGCATGACTCATTAAAAATCACACACGCTTATATAAATGCACGATGTAACTTTTAATTGGCATCTTTCATAGAATTATGGATCTTATAAATAATCTTTCTGATCGTCTTCTTTTTGCCATACCCAAGAAAGGCCGTCTTCACGAGCAATGTATTACTCTACTTCGGGGAGCCGATATTAATTTTCATCGCCACAATCGACTTGATATTGCTCTAGTCCAGAATCTTCCTATTGCTATTATATTCCTTCCGGCCGCGGATATAGCAAAATACGTCGGTGAAGGAAATGTTGATTTGGGCATCACTGGTCAGGATATGGTTTCCGAATCACAGGTTGAAGACAAGATCGATAAAATTTTAGAGTTAGGTTTCGGTAAGTGCAAGCTACAAGTTCAAGCACCAGATAAAGGCGGTCCCACAAAAGTTGAAGAATTGGTGGGGAAAAGGATTGTTACAAGTTTCGAAGTTTTGGCCGGAAGATACTTTGAAGAACTGGATAAGAAATATTTAAGCGAAGATGAAAGGAATGCTGGAATTAAGACAAAGATTCAGTATGTAAGTGGAAGCGTCGAAGCAGCATGCGCTCTTGGTTTGGCCGACGGAATTGGTAAGTATATATTTATTGTGACTCTGACCTGTTGGTCTTATATATACATTTTTTATTTATTAAATGCCATTGGTTACATTGTTTGTTGGAAAATTAGTTGATTTAGTGGGTAAGCATTGTATTTTTTTAATATTCATTTTCTATGACAATAAGTCATTTTTCTAATATTACTTATCTAGAATCTGGGGAAACGATGAGGGCGGCTGGTTTACATCCTCTTATCACAATTCTCCATACACAGGCAATTCTAATTCGCAACAAACATTCTTCAAATCCTTCGCTCATCTCAAAAATCACTGCTCGCATTAAAGGTGTAATAGCCGCACAGAAATATGTGTTACTTAATTATAATATTTCACGTGCTAATATCAAGGAGGCTACGAAAATTACTCCTGGTAGACAAGCGCCTACCATCAGTCCATTAGAGAATGGAGAATGGGTAGAAATACAGAGTATGGTTGTAAAAGAGGAGGTCGCCAGTATCATGGATAGATTAGAAGAAATCGGTGCAAAAGATATTTTGGTTTTTAAAATTGATAATTGCAGGGTTTAATTATTTTAATATAATATTATAAAACCAATAAAAATTTAAATTACCACTTATAGAATAATCTTCACAGCTACAATAAATTATCAATGTCTAATTTCGAATTTTGAAAATTCCACTGTTACAATTTCCTCTTCTTTGAACTCCGCCCTGTCAACCCGTGAACGAGGAGATCCCTTGAATTGTAACCATTGTTTGCTATGAACAATACAAAGAAAAAAAATTAAATAACAAGAAAGACCATATATATCTAAATTTAAGAAACTTACAATGAATCAATCTTTGTTCTTTCTCCTTGCGCGATTCCAATAACTGTACCTTGGTCTGTAAATAAAGAAATTTACTCAATTCAAAATGACTTGGTATGAATGTTATAAACCCATACAGTATTTCTTATAATACCTGTATTCTTAACCCATCCCACAAGCTTCAATTCAATAGCCTTCTCTCTTGTGAATTTTCTGAAGAAAACTCCTGTTCACATTAAAAAGTAAGTTTCAGACAAAGTAACTTATTAAATAAAATATATTATATCTACCTTGAACTTTTCCAAAAACCTCATACGTCAGGCTTACGAACATAGCTGGAAAAAATATGCCAAAAATTTATAATATGTCTTTCACACGTATGAATTGGCCAGTAGTAAGATTATTGAAGTTACCTAAATGCGCCTAAATGCGATTTGCATCGCTTTTTAGTGAAAATTCCGGATCACGAGAACTTCTTGTTAATATCCTTTAATAGGCCTGACTTACCTATTACTTTAGGCTCATATAGTATAAAATACACAAAGCTCTTACTGTTTTACTCGAAGGTAAAGACTTATTACAAAACTGACAAGATCATGAGTTTACAAATTTATTATATTTTATTTTTACTTTAACTTAAATAGTACTATTTAATTAACTTTAATTTTTTAAAAATTAATTTTAATAAAACCAAATTATTATTATTTAGGTAAAATGCAATACACGCATGGCTTTATTTAATTCTCAGAATTACAGTCATTATATGAATAGTTTATTCCTGCTATTTATCTTTTTTGTTATAATATCAATTGATATCAAGAAGATAGATTCATATTATTATTTAAGCTAAGCCTATTTTATTTATAAAAAAAATAAGAAAAATCTTGTTTCACAAGTAAAAATCTTTTTGACAACTTTTTTTTCAGCTTAATAACTTTACTTTTTCCTGTGATAAATTATCAATCTGGATTGTATTAATATCAAATAAAGTAATAATAATTGATGATTTGTTATTAAGGATAAAATAAAACCAGTAAATAGCTTAGTTTGTTATTTAAGTGTGACTTGAATTGTTATATATATATTATAATTGACTGTAATTTTTTTAATATGAAGATCTTGTAATCAATATTCTTTATTGATCTTTAGAAAAAAGAAAATTAATTACAATTTTTGAAATGATAATAAAAAAAGAATATGCTTATTAGTTAAAACATTTAAGAATAAGTTTTTGTTAAAAAAATATCTTATTTTTAATAGAAAAAAACTATTTTCAAAATGTTTGAATGTAATAAGATAGTATGTTGTAATTGAATTTAAAGTAAATATAATTTTAAAAAGAAAAAATTATTTGAAAGTAAAAAATAAAAAAAATTAAAATGAAAACAAATGAAAGAATAATAATAAAATTAAAATTATTTTTTTGCTTATAATTATTTAATATATTTTATTACAAATTTTATCAAATTAGATTTTTTAATTTTATTAATATTTAGATAAAATTTATAGTTTCTGATAACAAAAAAAACCTTTTTATACAAATTACAATCTTTAAAGAAAATTCTTACAACTTTTAAATCAATTCTTAAGTTTTTATAACTTGCTTTATAAGAATAATCAATTAAAAAATAAAGTTTTTCAAAATATTTTAATTAAAAATTGAAATTATTTCAAATATATTTTTTGAAATATAATTTAAATTAATAAATCTTAATTAAAAAAACAAAAATATTCTTTTTTATAAAAATATATTAACTTAAAAATATTAAATAATCAATTATATCCAATATATAGTCAAACCTTTTTATAATGATATTTTTTATAATGATTTCTGGTTATAATGATATAATTTTGTTTACCCATTTATTATAATATATAGTAAAAAGTCAATTTTTATACCGATAAATTGGTTATAACGATACAAATAATCTGATCCAGGCATATCAGTATAAAAAGGTTTGACTGTATTATCTTCTAATAAAATATTACTGACATTAAATTTATATATCAAATCTTTAAATAATAATTTAATTATTAATTAAGAAATATAAGTAAAATCAATTGATCAAAATTCAATTATATTATTCAAAAACTTTTATTAATTATAGTTAATCTTCTATATAAAAATTATATAAAAATAATTTCTTTATATTTATTGATTTAAATATTCTTATTTCAAATAATATAAAAATAAAAAATTTTATAAAATTCTATATTTATCAAAAAAAACAAAGTATTTATAAAAAAACCTATAGGTCAATAGTACAGTTAATAATGCTTCCAATCTCTAAACATATGTTTCTAGTTTAATACCCATAGAAGACAAAAATATATTTACTTTTATATGTGAGTTTACTAGATATTCTACATATGTCATATTTAATGATTCTTAATTATATTTAAATTTAATTAAGCTACTGTATATAAAGATGAAATTTTTAATTTTTTCAATAATTGCAAGCTAAAAACAAGTCAAAGTACAAAAAATTGCATGAAAAAAAACTTATGATTTAATTTTAATAAAAGCTTATAAAAAATTTTAATTCAAATTAATGATTGCAAACTCTATTATACAATCTAAAAAGATTAATTCTAAGCTGATATATTCTAAATTGAAGCTTAAAGATCTATCTTAAGAGTAATATTCTCCTAAACTTAAATGAACTGAAAGAACAAAGATTATTTGCCACTAGTGATAATAATCTAGATAAAAATTATTAAAAACAAGTGAATCTAATAAGAATTTTTAAAATTAAATTTGAATTTAAGCAAGAATATCAGTTTTACAAATAATAAAAATAGTAGTATGATATTATAATAGTAATACATTCTAAGAATCAATAATAATAAGTAATTAAAATAATTGAAATTAATCACTATAATAATATTTTATATAATTTTTTTCTAATAAGCAACTAAAAAATACAATTGAAGTAATAGAAAAAATAAATTTAAACTAATAATAAAATTTTCTTTCCTTTGTATAAGTTTCACTTGAATGTGGACCTATCTATATAATATAAAGTTAGTTAATCAAAATAATTAAATTGGTTTAAGAGAAATCAGTAATATTGAAAATAGTATTATTTAGATAGTATTAATTTATATTTAAAATAGCAATAGTCTAGTTTATAAAAATATTTGATATAACTCCACTTGCCATACATCAAACCATATTTGGAAAGCAGGCATGCCAATCCTAATTATGACTTGGAGGCCAACCTGTATAAACTGGCTGCAGCACCTTCATGTAATTAGATATTTATTTAATTCTAGGTAGCTAGATGCCATTCATAACTAGATATAGATTTTTGAATTTTTTTTTGTCTATATTTCTTGAATGGTGCTAAAAGAGCACAGGGTCGGGCCCCTATAGAAGTCTTGTGTTAAACTTTTTTTAGCAAAGAGAGATGTATGTCATGCTATTGATTATTGTACCTTACCTTGTAAATAAAAGTATAATAAATATAATAAAGTATAATAACCATTTGCTTTTTTCAAAAAAAAAAATATTTGATATAATAGTAAGATATTAATTATTAATAAAATCTTGTATTTAATACCTTTGATCAATTAAAAAAAAAAAGTATTTGTAACAATTATATATCAAATATTTTTAATATTTTATTTATAATTATCAATTTTTATTAATGCAACAATTTTGTTTTTATCTTTTCACAATTTTATTTATTTTTTTTTTAAACTTATAATTTTTTAAATACATTAGTAACAAATATATAAAATCTAATAAACAGAAATATTAATTAAAAAAATTAAATATAGTCTTTAAAAGATTATAAATATATGGGTAATTATTTTTGAAAGCAACAAAAATGCTAGATATGATTTTTTTGGATCCAGCTTTTAAACAATACACTTATAATATAAATTTTAGGATCACACCAGAAAATTTCCAGTCCACCTTTGAAAATAATTACCCATATAATAAATATATTTAATCTTAAAATATTTAAAAATAAAAAACTACAATATAACTAAGAATTATAATAGTTTAATTTTAATTAAAACTGAAATCAAATTAATTTATTTTTTTAAAACTAATCTAATCTGAAAACTAATTAATTTCAAATTCAATTAAACTATATAAAGGTAAAATCTCTAATCTTTTTAATAATTGCAAACTAAAAACAGATCAAAACAAAAAAGTTTATATAAGAAAAGACTTCTGGTTTAACTCTTATAATAAGTTTATATTCTAGGACTTCGAAAAGTAATGAACTGGTATTGAACTGGTATCGAAATGGTACTGATCTATAGTAAATTTAATATATGGATTGTAATCTACTCATATGATTTTATAGTAAATTTAAGTATCGAACTGGTATCAAAGTGGTATTGAAATGGTATTATTAAGAGCCCTATTATATCTTTTTCTGACATGATAAACTATATAGCAAAAAACATACTAATATAAATAAACAACTTTGAAAAAAATTACTATATAAATACTAATATATAGAGAATATCAATGGCTATTTTACAGATATTGTATCCTATTTAATATTTATACTTCTAAATTTAATAGCTTAAGTTAACTAAAAACTTATAGAGTATCTACTGAAAGATTTAAAAATTATATCTCATTAGGCTTAATAGTCTCCAGATTTGATAGTATATGTCAACTATAAGAATAACTTTTAAAGCATTTATTAAAAAGTATAAAAAAATAAGTCTATAATATATCATAGCTATATAAGCCAAAAATATAAATATAATAAAAAATCTAATAATAATTAA